CACAGCCACGGATATTTAATTAGACCGTATTTTTTAATCGCGATGGGGCGAGAAGGAACCGGGCGGCAGGCCTTGCCGAGATGAGGAGGGGGAGGGGATGGGGGGGTGCTACGCCAAGAGTCCAAACTCACTTTGCCACCTACCGGACGCCGGGGCGGTCCCCCCGCGCCCGCCGCGCCCCCCAGTGCCCCCCCACCGCGCCGCGCCCCGCGATCCACCCCCCCACCTTTGTTTTCCCCTTACCTTAAACATTGAAACGCGGGCGTCGGGAGCAAACTCGGGCACGTAAACGGAGCGTTGTAAAAGATTGTGTTCATTGAATAATGAAACATGTCCACATGATTGACTTGATCATTTTCCGGGGCTGAGGGGGGACGGGCGCCCAGCTCGCGCGCCTCGCTCGCCCACTCGGCAGAGCCCGGCGAACTGTTCCCAGCCCAGCCCGGGCAGGGCAGGCTCGGTTTTCATCAGCCTCTTTTCAGAATCGCCCCGTTCATTGATACTCATCACCCAGCCCCAGCAGACATCCCCATCCCCGGCTCGGCCTCCCCCTATCTGGTAGGTGAAATGCATTGTACCATTAAAAACGCTCTCCATTGTCGCCCTGGCATAATTCACAGCAACTAGATAGGTCTTGCGGCATTTAGCTTTGATGAGCCAGAGACTGAACCCTTGATATAATAATCTACAAAGAATGGTGTGTGATCGTCCATTTTTTCTCTCTGTCTAGCAACTAAGAAACCATTTAACACAGCGCAGCTTGCTTCTGACCTTGAGCTCATGTAAACACACTTATTAAAATCTATCTATTCTCCAAGAGCTACATTCTGATTGTCAGACTCGTTACTGAGACATATATCAGCCCCTTCGCTTGTCACTACTTTGCATTCCTGCCTTTGACTAAAGAATTTTTTATCCAGCCGAGAGGGAGAGAGAGAGAGAGAGAGAGAGAGAGAGAGAGAGATTGCCACGGAGGAAGAGGAGAGAGAGAGAGGAGAGAGAGAGAGAGAGAGAGAGACGGAAAAGGGGAGAGGAAAAAGCGTAATTCTTACCTGCTTCTGAAACTATTTAAAGTCTGTTTCTTTTCTGGGGGGAAAAAAAAAAACTCCCGGGTGAATCTCGGTGGACAGCGGGACGCGGAGAATCAGTCACAGCCCGGGCGTTTAAGGGAGTCATCAGCGATCAAATGACGTTGATCCGCGCTGTAACCTTGTGGCGTATTTAATGTAAATAAGGCAGTTATGTTGCCAATCGCCGCGATACAAACACGGAGAGGTCCTCAGCCTCGCCTCCCGCGCCTGCCATTAGAGGCGACTTTATTTACAGACACTATTTAGGAGATCATGATAATTCTAAAACAATACTAGTGCCAAATGATTATGAAAATATGATTTTAATTAATCACGTAGTAGGCAAGGAAATTAGCATACGGTAATTAAACTTCGAGAAAAACGTCACGCAGGTTCTCTGCCTTATGGGTCCAGAATAATCATCACGCGGTGGGCTCCAGGACTTAATTATCAAACAAAATAACTTTTTTAAAGGCAACTTTGCAAGGCTGGTCCTCAAGGCGAACGTTTTGGTAAATAACATAAGCGGAGGTAACAAGGTGGAGATTTTGAATGGTACGTGAGCTTGGATTTCTGTGAAGCAAGGAAGGGGGGGAAAGAAGAGGGGGGAAAAAAGCTGAATAATGCAATTATGGATTCTCTGTCCTGGAGTTGACAAAAGCTGGAGCCTCAAAAGCCTCTTTGTTATGGGATTATATAATGATCCTGGTGTCATTATGGGTAAAAAAAAAAAGATTCAGTAATAATAATAAAAGAAGTATCCAGATACACCAATGAACAGCTTGTTAAAAAAAAAAAGCTTGCATGTGACATTAGGCATGTTAATAGCAGAAAGACAAAATCCTAAAGAGTTGACAAATATAGAAGGAGATAGGAGGGAGGGGGAGGCCTGTGTTGTGCATTATTAAGAAGCGATGGAGACAGATTGATTATTCAAAATATTAAGCCACGGAGACACTTAAAACACAGATTCAGGTAAGACTTGTTCCAGCCTCTATGAACTGAGTTCCCCCCAAAATGACTGGCTGAGTTTAAACCAGGGCACCACAGTACTTCAAAAGGGAAGATAGAGAGTAAACACGCACAGCCTCCCCATCACTACTGGCTCCAGGAGAAGGAGCTACTTAGTTGCAAAACCAGTCCAAGAGTGGGGCAAAGCACAGAAAAGTTCGTGCAGGGAGGAGCAACACAGAGGGAGCCCGCTAGGGACTATCACACCAGCGCATCACAGCTGCCTCAGGCACCGGCCTTCCATCTCCTCTCTGGTGGTCAGCTCCCAGGTGGGGCACCCGGCCTGGTCAACTCTGCTCCCACCCTCAAAGATGGTCCTAAGAACCCAAGGCGCACTCTCTCTTCCTCTTCTCTTTTCTCTCTCTCTCTCCCTCCCTCTCTCCCTCCTCCTTTCCTCCCTCCCTCCTTCTCTCTCTCCCTCCCCCTCTCCCTCTGTCTTCATAGATTTGGGAAGGGAGAAAGGATAGGTTTCTCCCAACAAGCCTGATTCTATGAGATCCTTGAAGTCCACACAAACCTCTGATTTGATTTTTAAAAAACCACCTTCCTACCCCCCCCAAAAAAAGTTTAGCAATTCAGTTCGCATTTTCCAATCTGATGTGTCTGAAAATCTTCTTGAACAAATTCCAAAATACAAGGTTTTTTTTTTCTTCTTGTACAGAAATTATCATCGCAATCACATCAATGATATCACTATCTCTATGGGAATGATAGCCAGAGCAGTGGGGTGTTCTTTATTTCAATTCTTCGTGGATCAACTGATTATACTCTGTCGTCTTTTGAACCTGTTATTGTAAGTCAAGTGATTCTTTATAAGTGACAGCTCGGACAAAGAGGCGAGCAGGGCCGATCAGGTCGAAAGGAAGTGGCCATATGGACTTGGAGAAAAGGCACTTTCTCCCCGACAGAATAGGGGTGGCAGCCTCATTTTAACCCTCCAGCCGCCAACCTTGCCTAAGTGTTGTAAGACATGGAGGCGGAACTGAGTCTCCTCATCACCCTGGGATGGCACCACCCTGGGTGGTGTCCACTGCGCTGGGACAGTGGCCGTCAGGGCCCGGGCGACGCTTCCAGGGTGGGAGGCTCCAGATGCCTTCAGCCCTTAAAGCTTGTATCTTAGGAAGGCCGCGCTCCAGGCAGCCCAGCTGTTGCCCCCCGGTGAGATTTTGGGCATGGGGTGGGCCAGGACCCGCTGAGGAATGGACTACCTAGAACCTGAGGACCGTGCCCCACTGCCTGAGTCCAGCCGACTGATCGGGACTGGGGGTTCATTGGCGCCCCCTATCGACGAAAGTGTGTTTTTCATTCCTCAAAGGCTTGTTGCTAAGTTGGTGAGCTCAGCAGAGAGACCTGCTGAGAGCCTTGATCCCTGCACGTGGGAATCAAGGTTGAGGGTGAAGAGCACTGAACAATGGGTAGGGCGACCAAAAACTTGGTCTCTACCTTCGTCCCACTAAAGCAGGGAAGTTCCCATTGACTACCCCACCTAGGAGCCCCACTCTGTGTTTTGAGGACAATTCCCCAATATGTAGCTTGCAGATGCTTTTCCCATCAAGATTTCTTGATAGCCCAACCTTCTTCCCCTACCCCTGACCCTGCCTAGCACTGGCTCCTTCTACTCCTTCTCAAACTCCAGAGTATTTCTCACTGGTCTTGCCCAGACCAGCCAAACTGCAACAGGTGACTGAGTTTTTAGCAGAAGCTCCCATGGGCCTGATCAATTCCCACATCCAGGAGTCCTGCACTCACCAAGCCTCACAGCTGTCCCTGGGTGCAGCCACTCCCCACCCAGGGGACTCTGAGCAGGTCCTTTCATACCTGCAGTATCTTCAAGGTAGCTCCAGCCCTTCAATTTCTTGAAATTGATGCAAGTAATTGGAAGCCCGGGCTGAGGAGTTATGCAGGTGACGTCTGTGGGTAAAAATCGAGGTGATGAAATCAGTTCTTGGGAGACTCCTGGGCCAGCTTGGAAACAGGACCTGAAGGAGCCGCATCAGCACCTTGTAATAGGCACCTGGCCACTCAAGGTGCTTCTCACACCAAAGGGTTTGTTCTGACCTTCGTCATTCCATTCTCAAAAGTGACAGTAGTTCATAAAGTGTTTCCAAACCATTACTTTGGCGTTGCACTTCCTGTTCCAACAGCACTCATTTTACTTTTGTTTGTCCATTTCTTTTCTCTTTGCTCCCTCTGCTCCTTGTAAGTAAGCCTGCCTCCTCACAGCGTGGTTGGCCCTTAGCTAATGAGATGGCCAATACCTATGATCCCTCAGAGATAGAAGCAAAAGTGAAGACACTCCAAGAAGGCTTGGGTTCTGAGTGGAAAGGTGAGCCATGACACTTGTGAATAAATGGATCAGGTACCCCCACTTCAGTGTTCCTGTCTGTAAAAAGATGGCTGCCAACCATCTGTAAGGCCCCTTGGATCCCTCAGAGATAGTGGTTTTGGGAAGCTGATGGCCACCTTCTTCAAGAAGATATAAGGACATCTATAAAAGCCCACGTGTCAGGTGAAGAGTTGGCTGGATGCCTGCAGAGTGACACCAGACTTCTCACAGGGAGTCTTTGCTTCTCAACTTCAGGTGGCCATCTCTCAATGTGGGAACTCTCCTTCACTCTCCTTGAAGGCTGCCTGGGCTTCAACAATGGGGTCTCCTTGCCTTGGTGAGGGATTTTCTCTGTGGTCATGTGGTCATGTGTCTGTCTTCACTGAGGTGAAGGAGCAGCCTGTTATGGGCCTCTCAAAGACTGCCCTAAGAGCAGGGTCCAGTGGGAGGTGCCCATTGAGGTGGAAAGTGGTTCCTGAATAAGAAGAAACTTGGGAATTGGAAGTACTTGGCTATTCTGCCACTAACTATTGGTCCCTGGACAACCTTGATCTCCCCACCTCCTACCACCAGCATTCCTTTTTAAGCATACCCTTTAAAGACAGAGTGCAGCTGACCCACAGTTTAAAAAGAAAAAGAAGCAAGAGAAGACAAGAGGAAAGAAGAGAAGAGGAGAGGTCATACCCCTCTTTGAACTTTCCTTGCAGAGATGGGTCCACAGTCTTTTTTTTTTTTTTTTTGGCTCTGGCTACACAAGCTTTCTTCCAATTGCAGCCCCTGCCTTCCCTTTTCCACCCTGAGGGCATTGGTGGATGAGTGGGGGGTGCTTCCTCAGGTCCTAGTAATCAGTGCATCACATCTCTCTGGACTCTGATTGGCTCAGGAATAGATACATGACCTTTGTTGATCCAATCAGAGTGGATCTGGGTTTGTTGGGTGCTAGTGGAGAGGCTGAATGGCTGAAGGACTGTAGTCTCCACCCCCTCACAGAGACCTGGGCAGAGAGATTGCAGAAGCCAAGAGGAGCCTGAGAATGGTGCCAACATGAACAAAGGCATTGTTGAAGTCCTGCTTGGCCTGTATGAGGCCTAAATCCAGCCATACCTAAAGCCAGCTCTACACCTCTGCACCTGTTTGGCAAGCAGACTAATTCCCCTTAAGTTAATTCAGTTTGCATTGGGTTTTCTGCCCCTTGCCATAGAATGAGACCTGATATATTTAGCACCGGACAAGAACAAGGAACACTTGGGCTAGGAACTAGATAACTCAATAACAAGACTGAAACAAGGGTTGGAAAAGCATAGCATGGCCCCTGTAGCTCTTTCTACAGCCAGAGAACTTGCTAGAGTTTTTCTGAAAGCTACAGGTGAGCCTTGCTTTGCATTCTAGCTCCATTCCAGGAACAAGGTTTATAAATTGAACTTTTGTAAACTGAATCATATTTCCTGAACTGAGAAAGCTAATTATTTAAGGCATCT